TGAAGGGTTGTATGTACAAGTAAGAAAACTGTATTATAAGAGAGGATCTGGGCTGACCCTCAGTAGCTATCATCTCATCCTCCTGAGCTAACTAGGGGGTGGGGGTGACACCATGATCGATTCGACTCATTAGTTAAAGTTCCATTTCAAAAATTGGCTATTTGGATTCTGTTAACAGTGACAGTCTCTGGCCCTGGATCATTCCTCCATGCAACTTTGCTGAGTCTTTTTTCTGTCTTTCTCTCCATCCCACTCCCCCAATAAATGCCCTTCCTAGAGAAAGAAGCTTGCTTTTAGAATTGCACTTCTTTCAGGTCTGAGGGAAGCAGGTTGAAATCTCAGCTTTGACTCCCCATCTCTTCTCCTTCCAGCTCCCTCTTCTCAAACTTATACTTGCATCCTCTGTTCTTGGAAGTCTGTACTGACAGTAGTTTTATGACCCAGGACTTTTCAATTTCTTATCCAAAGCCAACCTCATCTCAAATTCCAAAATTTATAGGCATAGGAGATGACATGTGGGATTAAACTCTTGATAGATTTTGAACAGTGACCTGCCTTTGGGCAGTAGCCAAGGCTTTCTGTCAAGAGGAAATGTGGAGAAAACATGGTCTTTGTTGTGCAGTTGGGTATCTTCCTCCTTTTCAGGCAATCTTCTGACATGTCCTGTCCCTCATCCCTCACCACCCCCCACCCAAACCATAGACAACCCTGGTGAGGAATAGTCACTTGACTTTTCTAGTGCCTCAAATGTTAGAAGTTAGGAAACCATGAAACTCTCACAAAGAATAACAGTTACCAACTTAAAAGAAAATGAACGATTATGGAATACTGAACTTGACTAAGTGCCCATCTGTTCTCCAGAATGCTTTCTGGGATTTGTCGTTCTCCTAGATATTATGCTGTCCAACAAACACCCACATCCACCTGAGCGCTCTCCTAGCATCCTCTCTAGGCTTGTCTCTTGGCAAAGACCAACAATATTTTTCTTCATTTGGTTTCCCTTGGTTTTCTCTTGGAGATGCCAATAACCTCTCTTCATTGCATAGTAAATAACCCTCATTTGGCACACTTCTCTTCATCTGTGAAGCCTAGCTTCTCTAAACATACTCATTATTCTTCCCTGGACTTTGTTCAGTTGTCCTGATGGGCTTCAGGAGAGCTTTATTCTTGAAAGTGTGTCAGGAATTGTAAAATGATGTCAACAAGTTGTGGGGTGTATTATCTACCATTTAGGAGACTATTTTACAATTGACTATTCTCTTAGATCAAAAATAATATTTTAAGCATTTATAAATATTATCTCAGGTCATATATTCAAATTTGAATAATTTCCAGATCTACCTGCGAGTTTGGGATTACAAGGATTAATTTATTATGGTGGGGCTCAGAGGCACCTAAGATGTTCACCCAATTTTTTCAAAACATTTTTCCCTTGTATTGATAAATATGAGATATTTCTGAAACAGGTATGAGCCTCAATTTATTTCTTCTTGAGAGCAGAAGTACAGCATTACTTTATTATGGGGAATTTGTTGTTAAACTAGAAGCTATTTTCTTTGCTAACGTATTACTACATTTAACACAAATTCATGTATTTCATCACTGTTAGCCGAGGATGATTAGAACACCAAAACAAAGTTTGAACACAAGTTTAAATCTACATATACTTCCACAGTATGTCTTCGTGGTTGGTTCACAGTAAGCTTGGCTGGGCATATGGATTTTAGGTCAAACATCCTCTCCTCAAACATTCTTTTCTCCTGTAATTTAACACTGAAGAGACAAAGCTTACTTCCTTTGGTAAATAAGAAGGCTTTTGTTAAATTTTTTCCTAGCTTCTATTTTATTTTTGCTGAATGCTTGCAAGGTCTCCCTGGAAATTCAAAGTTTTCACCTTTGAATATCAAGGAATATGTTGTTTTAATAAACATTACATGAGCCTGTCTGATGTACAGATTCAGGTCCTTCTTCCTTTTAGCTCATCTTTTCTAACTCCTATATTTTTGTTCTGTTTACTGCTTCGTTGTATGTTGGGGGGAAATTTCTCTTTAAATGCTTTCATCAATTTTTATTTGTTTTCTGAATTCTGTGAGAATTTTTAAATGTTTCAAATATCTGGAGTTTTGTTGTTTTGCTCTTATTTACTGGGCTTTGTGTAGTCTAAATTCTACTCATACTTTAAATTCTGTCATAGCACCATTTCTTTAATTTTCTTCTTAAACTTGATAACTATTTCATGCAATATGCTGTACCATCATCTTACTTTCATTTTCCTTTTTAAGATGATTTTAATTGTGGTAAAAAAAAAACATAAAAGTTACCATCTTAACCATTTCTAAAAGTGTCTCACTTCAGTTCCACAACAGTGTGAAGTATATTCCACACTGTTGTACAATTGATCTCCAGAAATTTTTCATCTTACAAAACTAAAATTTCATACTCACTAAATAACAACTCCCTACTCTCCCCTCCAGTCCCTTTACTTTCTGTTTCTGTGAGTTTGAATACTTTAGACAACTTATACAAGTGGAATCGTACATTATTTGACTTTTTGCGACTGGTTTGATTCCCTTAGCACAATGTCTTCAAGGTTCGTACAAGTTGCAGCATGTGTCCAAACTTCTTTTTAAAGATAAATAATATTCCATTGTGTATATATACTACAATTGTTTATCCATTCATCCACAATGGGTGTTTGGGTTGCTTCCACTACTTGGCTATTGTGAAAAGTGCCACTTGTGAATATGGGAATGCTACCTTCATTCATTTTCCTGAGAATGAAAATTTCTTTCCCAAACTTTTCTATTTGGTTAAATGTTACAAATAGGCTCTAACATACTCTGAATATTATACACACACACACACACATGTATAAAGCTATATATCATACACAAACATACATGTGTGTATATATGCACACATGTGTACACACATATACACACTTATATACGTATATAAAGATATATATATATGCATATATATAACTATGTACATAGTGAAATGTAGCAACTTTTTATACTGATCCAGGTTTTTTTTCTCCTGTTTAGTTATTTTTGAATAAGGTCAGGTCTACCAGATCCACTCAATGACTGGATTCTCCGTAGGTCTCTTCTCTATGATGTCACTTTCTTTTAAAATCTAGGCTGTAGTGTCAGCTGATATAGATGTGTAATACCAGTTCAGTCACCCAGTAGCCTGAGCTTGTTGGGAGGGAAACACAGAACTTTGATCTCTGTGAACATTTCTCCTTTGTTTATTTAAAACACTGAAGGGGAACTTCTTTTTCATATCTTTCTCCTATTTTGCCTCAGTTCAAGCACATGATATAGCTATGTCTAGTCTTTGTCCTAGAATTTCTTCCTCCACATCTGAGAGATGGACCTAAACCAACTTGTGTAGGCATTCTGAACTTTTCAAAAATGCTCCTTGTATCGAGGTTAATTAAAATTCACTTATTATTCACATTGTAATTAGTCATGTCCTTGCCCACCTGAACACAGCTTAGGTCCGTCCATATTTTATAATTGAAGGGAAGTATATAAATATAGAAGCTAGTTTTTACTGCTTAGGTGAAAATGAAGTACCTTGGTGTAAGATGACTTTGTGATAAGTAAGCTAGAACCTCCAAGCAATTAAGATCTTGTCCTAAATAGTTGGAAGTCTTGGGAACTGGTAAGACTGCTTTACAGCTGTAAGGTGCAAACACTTTATAATTCCTTATTTTTCATGAAATCAAATTAAAATGTTCTAGAGAGCCCACTTGCCAACCTGAGAGAAGGCCCACTGCCATAGGGTGTCACTATTGAGTGCCGGTCTCCCACCATATGATCCACAGGCTGAAACGAGTGCAGCCAAGACTCCTGGCCCGACTCCCAGGACCCTCTGGCGTTGCCCAGGGTAGAAGGCTACCCCGGCCAACTCTGCTCCTGATGCTGGCTCACTCACCGTCCCTGCCGCACTATCCGGGAGCTAAGCTTCAGTGCCCATGCCGAGTTAAACACACAGCTATTCTCCTCACAGGAAGTGGGTCAGTTTAGCTCAAGTGTCTGCCCTTGAAGAATACACATAGTTTATTTTTTAGCCCCAGAAAATTAAGAGGGGGTGACTCCGTTTACATCCAAGAAATAAGAGTTTTCCACACTCTCCTGTAAGGGAGTCCCAGAAGATTGTTTTCCAGGTTAATCATCCCCTTCCCTGTAACCCTTAATAACAAGAGTTTAATATGGTCCCTTGCTGAAAGGGGTCAGATTGCTCCAATGAGGGCCATTCCCTGGAAAAAAGCAACTTCTTTTCTTTTGTTTTTAGGGATGGACGGCTGTGGTGGAAGGATCGAGGGGGTAATTTTCATGCATAATGTGATTTTAATCAAAGTCACTCCCCTATCACTTCTCCAGACATAGCTGAGGAAAAAACAAGTGATGTGTGAAAAGACCGTTTAATGTGTACATACTTATTTAAGACAATCATTCTTATACATCAAGTACTACACTCAAATGTTATTTGAGGGATATGGGAAAATTCTCTTAATTATATCTCACTAATTGACTTCCTACAGAATATTTGTGATTTGTTTATATTACTTAAGACACAGTAGCTCTTTAAAGAGATCTCCTTTAGAATGAAGGCACCGCTATACAAAGAATAGTGGTACCAGTACTATCAGAACAGAAATTTTATATTTTTCTTTTTGGCACTAGAGGGAGAAATTGTCTAATAGAGTCATGCCCTTAAATCAAGGAAGAATTGTTTATACACTGGGAATGATGGTGGGATATCTTCCATGCCTTCAAAAGGAGGCCAAGATTTATTACTTTGACCCAGAATGTAGTATGTGTACATAATGAATGGAATTAGATGCTTCTATACAGAATCTCATTTAAACATCTCTATGGGGCAGATAATAGCATACAATTCACATGTTAGGTAAAGGAGTGCCAAGCACATTAAGTAACCTGCCATGGTTCACACAACTTGTATTCAAGCTTGTGTTTATGTATCAGTACATGTGGACAGACCCAGTCCCCAATGGGACTTCTTGAGAGTGAGATTGCAGTGCCTGAGCACTGGGTACCTCAGGGGAGGGTAACCAGAAGAGGTCAAAGGGTGTGTACCTCATCTTTAAAACTAATACATGACATGACTAGACCATCAATGGAACTAAAATATTTGGGGCCATGAAACAATCATAGTAATTCTGCCACACAAGAGAGGATAAAACGTGAAACTGTCTCTTTTCATAACTATAAAATATATCCTAGGTTTTTCCCAACTTCGTATCACATTTCTTGACCCGCATTTTCAGGCACCACTATGTTTTAGGGCAGAGATGCTGGGACAAGGTGGCATTATTTCTGACTCAGTTTTGACAATAAAGGGCTCTATATAATAATTTTGATTTTATTGTTTGATTTTGTATAGTTAATATTTTTGTGACCTTGCCATTTCTTCAAAGCAGTGACAAGCCTTTCCACTACAAGTGCCCAGGATCTGATTCCTAGTTCAGAGGGAAGGATGCTGGATCATGTGATATGTTTCATCAACTTGGAAAATGATAGCCGCAGTCATACTTCCACTCATCCTCTGAGCAAATAAGGTGAGGCAGTGAGGCAGGTGCTTTCCCCTAAGGTGAAAAGCAGCTGGACAAACAGAACATCACAGATATCACTGGGATTTAATAAACACTTAACAAGCTGTGCCATCTTTCCAGCCCACCACAAACACCCGATACACAAAGAGAAACAAAAATCAGCATGTGTGTCTTGACAAATACACATGCACTTAAAGGACAATCAGAAGACATAATAAAAAACAGAGATGGTCCTTGATCCCTCAAGATCTATTATCCCAGTCAATTAATCCATTCTGCAATATTTATGAAGGGTCTGAGTTTCCCTTCTGATGCACACTCCTCCTCACTGAAAGAATCATAAAGAAATTGGCATGGCCCTGGCCCGGCAGGGTGTGAATCCCCAGTCACTGGGACTGTTGGCCTCCTCACCCATCCATCCCAGCAGCTCCCTCTAAGGCCACTCCTGAGTGTCATGCCGCCAAACCCAAGAACACCATGCCTACCCTCTCTTGTATACTCAGGACCATGGTTTTCCTCCATTCCTTCTAAGGATTTGTACTCAGTTGTCTTTGCCAGCTCTTTTCAACCCAAATAATAAATAGTAGAATTACTCAGGATGTACTCACGCCTCAAGTTCTCATTTACAATCCTCTTTCCTCTAGCTTGTAAACCCATCATTTGCATGATTGACAGCCCTCTAAAACCAAATTCTTAGTCTTCCACAAACCTCCTCCTACAGTTTTCCTCCAATTTGGGTCTTAGTAACTGAAAAATTCATCTATCCATTGCTGAATTCTAAAACCTAGGTTCTGCTCCTAACATATATTCTTCTTTATGTCTTACATACATTCCATGACATCTCTTCAATTCTACACATAAAATATTTCTTGATCTACCTGTTGTCCTTACCTCCATTGCACCTATACTACTATACCCCTAGTATAAGGTGATGATTGGAAAAGCCTCTTATTTGGACATACTGATTAAATTTCCTCTCCATTGAGCAGCCTGAGATATTTTTTAAAAGGTGTAATTCACACCTCCTTTCTTCCCATATTAAAACCCCCCTATGCATTCATCTCCTTCTAACATTGGATAACTCCAAATCACCTTTAATTTTCCAGATCAAATCTTACTTCTTCAGAAAGACCTTTTCTGGCTTTATAATAAAAATCTTCCTCATTATAATATTTCATAGAACCTTTGTGACACTTAAATAGAATATAAAATGATATTGGATGGTACTTACCTTGAACTTTCAGCTGTAGACTAAACTGAGAAGAGTAGAACTGTACCTCTAGATTGTTAGGAGAGTTGCATGACTTACTAAAAGGTATTCATATTAATTCTTCATCCATCGATCCACATCACCAAGCTCTATGGGTAAAAAAAGAAGAAGAAAAAAAGGATTAAAAAGGAAAAAAAAGAAAGTTAAGACTCACTGAGCAGAGATTTCCTTCCTTCTTTACAAAGAATTAGAGTTTCTCCCACAACTCCAAGTCTAAAGAGGGCTAAAAAGGCCACATTGAGAGCTGACTACTCTGAAGGTACTAAGTACTACAACTGGGTCCTGAATAAAATATATTTAAAGACATCACTTTTCTTTCTGAAAGAAGACATATTTCTAATGGTAAACAAATGAAACAATCAGAATATGAACTGAAATTACTTATAGGGTGGTGATAAAAGGCCAAAGTGAGTTTCCTTATGCATGCTGCCCTCTGGACAGTAAGACTTGGAGTTTCTGAAGGACAAAGGGATAAACCTATCACTTTTGACATGAGGGGAGCAGAATGCTCAAGAGGTTCCAGAATGGTTGTACCTTACTGGAAGAAGCAAAAAATCTTCTTTGGAGAAAAGCACCTCCACGACATGACACAGGAACCCAGTGGCTCAATTACAGCAGCCCTAGTCACTGAAGACATTAACCCCCCCATCCAAATACTCTCTTCCATCGCCTAGACCTGTGGGCACCTGAAGCAGCAGAGTAAAATAGAGAGGGAGGATTCTTGCATTGCATGATTGCATGTGACATTGGATGTGGGATTTCAAACCAGATTTGAGATTTTGACTGGACTAGAATTCCTAATGTCTTAAAATAAGACTCTTCTAGCTTAAAGAGCCCTGAAGTTTATGGATATGCCTGAGACACTGGAATCTGGGGCAAAGTCCAATGACTGGGGAAGGGTAATTCAGCAGAACGTGTTTAATGCCAGTTTGGGGAGAATAAAGCTTTATCCTAGTGTGCCCAACCAATGTTTGTCTATTCAATAAACTGTTACATATATTTCTAACTATCTATTTTCAAGATCCAACTTTTTTAATAGATTACAAATTCCCTTAAAGGCAACAGCCATATTTGACACTCTCATCAACAAATATTAAGTTGGTGACCATTTTTTTAAATAATGCTTTCAACTAATGTTTCAAAATATAGGTAAAGATGTCTCTGGAAAACCACCAGAAATAAAGTGGTCTTAAGTCAAATTCTTATGAGAGTGGCCTTTCACATTTCTGTGTCTCCATCAGTTAAAGAACAGGCACGAGAAAACAGTGATATAACTTAAAGACAAAGTAATTGAGGCCTAGATTTGTTTCCTGCCTTATCTGTTAAACATAAAGCCATAGTTTTAGCTTAAATGACATAAGTCATTTGATCAAGGTTGCAGTTTTAACTATATATTGCTGCATATCAAACTAGCTCCAAATATTGTGGCTTAAAACAACAATTATTTATTAATGACCGTACTTCTGCGGATTGAGAAAGGCTCAGGCACGTAGCTCTGCTGCTCTTGCTTGGGGTTTCAGGGGGTTGCAGTCAGGTGGCTTCTGGAGGTGACAGGCACATGGTTTCCCCGTATGACTATATTTGGGCTTCTTTGCAGCTTGAGTGGTATTTAAAGAGGACAAGTTCCAGTGTTCAAGTGCTTATGAAGACTCTGTTTCTGTCACACTTCCTAATATCCCAGTGGCCAGCACAAGATCAGAGTAATATAATTAGGAACTACATAAAGATATGAATATCAGAATGCGTGTGCAATTGGGGACCTCAAGGAAACAATACACCACACTTAGAGTCACAGAAAGAGCTCAAGGTGATCTCAGGTCTGACTCTGTGGTCACCATGTCACCACAGGCTGATGGCTTCTCAGTGACTATGTGGTGCTTTTTCCATTGTAACTTGAAAATCTAGTAATAGGAAGAGGTAAGAGAAAGATGAAAACAAAAACAAAGTTCCCTAACTACCACTGTTTCTTTGTTCCCTACAATTCTGCTTTCTTGACTAGTGGCTTAGCCACGCCATCCACAGGGTCATTGTTCCTTAAAATTCCAGTGGTTGTGCTCTCCTTTCCAGTGTTTTTCTTGCCTCTATTTCTCTTACACTAAAGTTTGATGATAAAACGAATGAGGGGTAATACTTCTCTTGGTGCAAGCCCTTTCTCATTCACATCCCCTATGTAACAGAAACTTGAACATACATACACACATGCAAACACACACACATTAAGGTGTTTGGTACCCAAAGAATCATCTTACTTGATAATTTATATTTCCTGACTATATTACACTGTTATAGTATTTCCACTCTACAGAGACCTTAGAAATGTTAAACTTAATGCTTATACTACCACTACATACTATTTCTAGGACTAGACTTAATTAAAGCGGCCTTACTGAAATGACCTAAATGTATTATTTTTAAAATTTTTGTAAGGGATAGCAATGTTCCTTCCCAAAAAGGAACAGGAGAACATAAAACTACTCAGTCACCATCTACATAAGTAGAAATGATACTGGATGAATTTCAGCAGAAGCTAGCCAATGACATGATATATTCTAACAAACTCAAAGTTTAGAAGACAGGGAAATAAGGCAGAACTGACAACATTAGATAATATTAGACATTTTTCAAGAATGAAAGACATTAAGGGAAGCTAAGTATGAACAAATTTCTAAACTTAAGGAAAAAAATGAACTCTATGAATGTGTCTTATCAGAAATAGTATCAACTTTGCTCTAATTTTTATGCACTGAGCCTTAGTATCCCCTTAAAATTACAGAAATAGTTTTCTCTATTCATTTTCCTTTTCTACCATTGATATTCCCACTGTGTCACTGATTATAATAATTACATAGATTCATATTTGAATCTGTGATCCTTGCACATTGAAGATCATTCATATGCTTCTTGAAATAATAATTACATGACATTGAAGTCTAATACAGTGCATTTAGATTGTATGATACTTGTTGTTTCTAATAAAGTAATTAACGTGACAGCTCCTCCCTCACTATAAAACACTGAGTTAACAAAGCAGTTTACCTAGTCTCCAGCATTGCAGATATAAAATTTAGATTTGTAAACAGAATCTCTGCTAGGCAAAGATAATATATTAGTTTCACTATATGCCCAGCTCTGAACATGCTCCTGGCACTTGTTAGGAAGTTAACAAAATTAGCTGATCTATTTTTTCTTGTTGTTGAAGAGTTTAATATCCCTGGAAATAATCAGTTCAATACTAAGAAATAGGTGAAGGATCTACTTCACAGACAGTCCAGTTATGTGCTTTATAACAAAGAGAGAATGCCAATATTTAATCAGGAAATGACCTACGTGGCCTTTCTTGATTATAAACAACTTAGTTTTGGAGAAGCCAGAAAATAAAACAAGCTTTTGTTTATCCTTGAAGGCATTTTGTGGCTATCGAGGTAGCTCATTCGACATAAGATTTATTGATTATAATGGCGCTGCCTAAGCTGGAATTTTGCTAGGGGTTTTTGCCATCTTCCTTCTGCTTGGAACCTGTGGCAAACATATATACCAACTACTTAAGTTCTCAAGAAAAAACAAACTTAACTGAGAAACTAGTTATAGGCAGAAGGCTACAATTGCCTGTTTATAGAGACAATGGAATATTTTTCCTTGAGACTAAAAAACTTCAGGTCAATTTTAAAGAATGTATACATGTTAGTGGCAGTCACAAGGGATCATAAATAAAGGCCAGCTGAACCTGTCTATCAGAGTTTACTTATGTTCACAGGAAATCCATTAAAATGTCCTCTACCTGATGGACTAACAGTTACCAAAGGGAAAGGGACTGGGGAGGGTGGGTGGGAAGGGAGGGATAAAGGTATTAAGGGGCATTATGATTAGCACACATAATGTAGGGGCACACGGGGAAGGCAGTACAGCACAGAGAAGACAAGTAGTGACTCTATAGCATCTTACTATGCTGATGGACAGTGACTGTAATGGGGTATGTGGGGGGGACTTGATGATGGGGGGAATCTGGTAACCACAATGTTGCTCATGTGATTGTATATCAATGATACCTTAATAAAAAAACATGTCTTCTACCTGGAACATACAGCTTTAGAAAACTGAGAATTTCCCTGGACCTATATAAATGTCTATGAATTTATAAAATATATAAAGATATTCTATAAGTTCTATATATAATATATATAATATATAATATAAATTCTATATATATAATATATAATGATATCTATAAAAATATAAAGATATTCTATTTTGATATTCAAAGATTTGTATTTTTACTTAAAGATTTTAAAATCACATTCTGACCTAAACAGAAAAGAATTATTTTTTCCATTACTTTAGATTTTCCTACTAAGATTAGTTATAAGTGAACTGGTTTTACAAATTTTTAGTAAGCGTGTCCTTCTACTTTAAATCTGGTTATCTAGAAAAGTATTTCCTGAATGACTGCTTTACAGAAAAATCCCTAACCTCTTAAATCTCCCACAACAAACTAGATTTTAACATAGTTTTAAAGATACATTTCACTTTTACGAACTTCTTCATCTTTTTGATTTCTCACTTGGGTGAAGTTTTATAAAATTTCTAATTTCTACCTCTAACTTTATGCTGTATGGCTACTGTCACTAAAGACATGTTAGCAAGTATTTTATCATATTTCATTCAATGTCACATGGCATTGAGACACGCTGAGTTCAGAATTAACATGGGTGATGAGCACATGGCTATTTTTCCACAAACACATTTGCAAAGCTCAGTGCAGAGCCCTTGGCTCACCTCATCTTCTGAGCACATTCCCCCTTCCTTCTCTTTTATCTCCAGAAGTGATTATCTCTAGTTGTCCTCACCCTCCAATCTTGCTCCTTTAGCAAACTTGGCCCCTCCTGTTTGGGTTTTACCAGACCTATTTCAAGTCTGTATCTGCTGATTGACTGTAGCTTCCACATAAGCAGGGAAAGTCCCATATTTGTCAGCTTCTTGGGGAAGGGATCTTTTTTTTTAAATTTGTTTATTATCGGTGACCAACACTGGGGAGGATAGGATCAAAGAGCAGTTTTTCTTCAAGAAGCTCTTCTTCGGGTGTTCTCCTTCC